CAGTCTGCTGCACTTCCCCGACAGCAGCGTCATCATCGTCCTCCGGCGCCTGCTGCCCCGGACTCTTCACTCCCTGCGATAGCTCCTGCAGCACTCCCCGTCGTCGCTGAACCCGCGGAGATGGCTCTTGCTGTTCCTCCTGCCCCAGCTGGTGGTCCGCCACCCCTCACCGAAGAATCGCTGCGCGCCATGCTGGCTGAATGTACGGAGTCATCGGTCGATCACATGATGACCTCGATAATCCCGTACTTGACTGCAATGGCTCGTCACCAAGTGCAGCTCAGCGTTGCGCCTCCTCTCCACGGCGATATACACACTCAGCATCGCCTCGAGACTGCCGTTGGTATCGATGATGTCCTCGCTGCGATACAACTTGTTCCTGACGCGCTGTCGGCATTACCCGAACGAGTTGCTCTTGGAGCCGTCGAAGCCGTGGTACCCCATTGAAAATTTGTCGTTCGCACCTCGGACATCTGACTGGCTTTCCGAAGTTCCGGCTCTCGACGCTCGTCAGCCATGGCGTACTGGATGGATGAATGCGCCGCATCGGCACCCTTACAACACTACGTACTTCCCGTGCCAGCGTAATCCGGAGCTTTTCAATCCTCGTGGTACGCGTTTCGCGGATGTGTACCGAAGCGTGATCGTTGACCCGTCTCTCGATTCAACCGAACTTATTCCGACCTGGCGTTCGTTGTTTGACTCGCTACCGGGTACTCCACGTCCCGCTCTGACTGCTGTTCCTGTTGAAGCTGGTACCGAGGATTCGCAGGGTCCGGCTTCAGCTCCAGCTGTCGGGGCTCAGGTTCCTGATGAAGAGGAGAAGGAGAGTGGTGACTCGACTTCGTTGACACTCTTGGCCACCGCGGCCAGGCACTTGGAATCGATTTGAATCCTCGCTGCACGTTCCACGACGTTCTCCAGCATCTCAGCTAACTGCTGAGGTGTCCCGCGTGATTTCGTTTTCAGTGGTCGCTCCGCGGTCGGCATTCATGTTATCTTATTCTTAATCCACTTCCACAGCGTAATCATGTTTATGTTGTTCTTCAAATGAATATACAATTTGTTGTTGCAATAACGTTCTTCGTCTGTTACCACAGGCTGCATCGCCCTGTGGGCAGTTCATACGTGATCCAGTCACGCTAGTCTTCGTCCGCCACTTGCGCCATCTGCAGCTGATTCTCGCTCTTCTTGGCTCGCAAATAGTCGTACAGCAGACCTCCACAAGACAA